CAGTTTAGGACAGATTGAAATATTTTGTTAAAATGTTCTGAAACTCATTTTGTGATATCCGCATTTAGCGTTTAAATAACACCTTTTGTAAAGTTATATAAAAATAAAAATATTGCGATTTTTGAAACATTATTATGTTTGTTTTTCGTACCTACCGAAAGTGCTTAGAACGCTACGAAAGTATAAGCTGTGAAAGCTTGAAAGAGTGATAAATAAATGCAGCTCAATTACTCAATAAACGCAATGATTAATTGATAAATAGTTGAATATGATGTTGCTAAATGCCTTTCTATCTAACTTCTCTTTTCCTCTAAACTTGTGCCTTAGAACTAACTTTTTTAATCTATTACTGAAACAATTCACCGTTAATACCTCAGTTAATAGAATCCTCTAGATAGCTCTAAATGCTACTCGAAACAGCGTAGTTCACAAAATGAAAACGCATTGTTTAGTACCAATGAACCATGGGTAAAAAGCGAACTATTCAACAAAGATTTTCATGGAAAATGCACTATTTCGAAGTTCATTGGAGTTTACGAGTATTTATTAGTTATTTAAGACTGATCACCTTAAATAAACAGCGCAAATGGCGAAACCATATAACCTTGTTATATGGAATTTTCAATAATTCTGTTCACTTTTATGTTCCGTTAACGATCATTAAATATTACCTCCAGTTCTTGCATTTTGATCAGTTTAATGCATTTATTTTGAAGAAGGTCCTCTGCTGCAAAACCAAGTATGACTCCTATTACTGTTATATAAAAAATCAACTTATTCCGAGTATGCATATTGTTAGTATTTCCGAAAAGTGAGTAGTCAATACACCCTTATTAAACTGTTTAAACTACTGTAGCTCCGAAAGACTATTTCACTTACTTCAAACCGACAAATATAAAAAACCTGGCCTAGTGATTAATTCCTATGAATGTATTTACTTATTATCTGTATACCAAATTTCAGAGATAAAAACAGAAATTAATTTGAAATTTTTTATTTGTGTTAACTTATTAAAGAACTGCACCCGTTTGACGTCATATCTAACATCATATAAAGAGCACCAAAGCAAATAGAAATAAAGTCTGTTTTTCCTTGTTTTTTGACCAGTTCAGCTGACATAAATCGACAATATTAAATCGAAGTTTTAATGTGTTGTATCAAATAATATATAGGCTTATATATTTAGGTTTTACATTATTTAAGCAATAAAGAGTTTCCCACGTATAACTACCCGTGAGTACTACTGCCTCAGATATCTGAAATTAATATGCGTATCTAGCAAAAGAAAACAATGGTTTACAAGAGTGACATACATCCGCTTATACCGACCTACATAAATTCATATCATCGTTACGAAAACTGAGATAAATCCAGTGCAAAGAAAACTTAAAAAAGCGGCAAATGCAATCAAATAGCTCGATTGATAAAATAATAAAACTGGTTGGTGCTAGAAAAATATGTTTTTAATTAATCTCTGAAGATGCAAGAGTTTTAAATGTTTTTCGGTCTCGAACTCGAAATTGTGTACTATTTTGCTTTGAGTACGTTCTGCTCGCTCGCTTCTGATATAAACATGTATCCCTTAATAATAAATGTGAGCGCTCTATAGTTGTGAAGAATGCTAGTTGGCGAATCAAATTTTACGGCAAAAAGTTTATAACTTTAAAACATTTCCTGTGATAGTTGCAATTCCAGTGCTGCACTTCGCACCGCACGAATTCTCATTGACACTGACCTCACGAGATATTCGGCACAATCACTATTAAATTTAATAAATGATCTTAGATGTAAATAGAATATGCGTTTGAGATATAAAAAAAATGTACCACACCTCCCAACAAAAAAATATTGGTAATTATGACTGTTAGAACTGTTAGAACGAGGTTAGTTTCGAAAAGTATATAAAGGCGGAATTATTCACTGAAAATTGGAACTTGATCAGTATCACATCAAGCAACTAGCAACCTGTCGACATGAACTCCTTTGTAAGTATTTTGCATTTATATTCTGACAATTTGAATTATTGGAATCAATATCGCTGATAATTTTACTGATATGGAAAAATTCAAGAAACGTAGATTCTATTGTCAATTAATGCAATGACTTAACATCAGTACACATGCAGAAGATGGCAACGTTCGGAAAGTGTTCTTATTTACGTTTCATTTCTTGACTAATTGTTT